GACTTTTTGAGGAAAGCTAACTCATACTACACAAAGGAAAACTACACTGCACACAAAGGAAAACCAGCGAAAACACATGTGGCAAATCCGTCACCCAAATTTGGATCTAAGTCGAAGACTATACCTGTACGACTAATGATAAAACTTTGGTGTCCCGCCCACTGCTGCCTACACCTGACTAACCACCAATCACCAATCTTTATCACCAATAATTACGATAACGTTCACTTTCGTTCGTAACATTAGATGATCTTCTGCCAACTTGTATGGCACAAAATGTTGACAGAACCCGCCCTTTTTCAAATTCTGTGTCATTACGCATTGACATGTGGTCTAGGGTATTTTCGCACTGAGGTTGACTCTTGGGCCGTTTGTGATCTATTGGCATTTTGTATCCATAAGGTTCACAATCACTTCTTTATTTCATATCACTAGCGGGTTGATAATGCTCTTTGCCTTCTATTGGTTGGTACACGAATATGAAATCCACTCACTTTTTCTAATACAGGAAAGAAACTTTTGGGTTATCTTAAACTTTAAATAATATTTGAATGTAAAGAAATAATGAACCAGTAAAGATTCTTTAGAGGTCTCAAAAGCATAGATCTTTCGAATGCGGTACGTAATAGGTAATTTTGAACCTGATCACATGGATTTATTCTGAGTAAATCAGATCCATCCCTGTACATCCTTAGCTATGAAGAGAAGTCATAATTTAGGTTAAAGTAACACCATTTAGTCGATTTAGGTTAAAATAAACCATAATGCTCATCGTAAATCTTGTATAACACCATTTCACTAATTTGTAGGCTTTCTTTCGTTATCTAAATGCAGAACTCAACATATCTACTTAAAATATGCCACATTTTACATTTTGCCAGGCACAAGATATCTGGATCAGAACACCAGAAGTACTGATGTAAGGCTAATCAAATTACCCGCAAGCACGAAGGAATAGGAATTAGGTCATAACTTCGAAGGAATAGGAATTAGGTCATAACTTCGAGGGAATAGGAATTAGGTCATAACTTAGACGAAGAGATATATTTATTCTGCTATTATGCACTTTTTCAATCAATTAAGTTTTAGATATAACCATTTATTTCGATTTAAATAAATGGCATTTTGTATCCATAAGGAATTTGGTTTCTAGGGTTTGAAATCTTCTATCGACATAGTATAGTAAAAAAAAAAATTCAACAAAAGGCTAAACTAGTTTTGAAGGTTGAGTATTAGAAGCTACATAAAATAAAAGATTATTTTAAAGCAGAAATCAATGTTCTTTCCTTTTTCTTTCTTTCTTCATTATCTGAGAGCAAATCGTAAGCATTCTGCATGATTAATCGCAGATCATATGAGGAAAAGACAAAAGAATGCACTTTCAATAGAAATAAAAAGAATATTGCCATTTCGATGGAGGAAAAAAAAAGAGTATTTAAAAATATTAACTAGTGAATTGCATTTATGTAACTGAAGAACAAATTTATTCTTATTTTAAGGTTTCCGCTTGGTGAAATTTTTATTAAAAACATTTTTATTTATATTGTAGAAATAGCATATCTTACCATTCCGCTCAGGTGCATTAAAAATTGAAATGTATTAATCTAATCATTTTTTTCTTTGGATGACTGGGAAATGGATGATTCGTAAGTAAATATTCCCGAGGGAAAGAAATGAAACAAAAAATTACCTTCGACTACACATATTTAACAGTACATTCCAATTTAATTCCCGAGAATAATTTTTCTTGAGTTTCAAGTTTAATTGAGTACTAACCCGAAAAAAGAAAGTACTTCTTATGGCCTATATTTTTTTTTCATGTTTTTCGTTTTTCTATTCGTTTTAGCTTTAATTTCAATCCCTTCTTTAAAGGTAATTCTGGGATTTTCTTATTTTTAAGGTTTGAATTCTTCTATCATTTACTACGGCAAATATGAAAGATTATTATTTTTTCTTCGTTACTCTGAAGCGGCAGCAGATTCCTTTTGCATCGCCTGTATCATTTTATGCTTCAGTGCAGCTTACAAGTACTTCCTTAAGCCGAATGAAAACTGAAAGCTACATTCCCAGATTAGGTTCCCCCCACTGGGAGGTGATATACGTTAATTAGCATCCAGTGTACTGTACATTACATAGTATATGTTACGCTGTAACACTTATACAAAACAAATATTATTTTTTCATAGTGCTCATTATTTTTCTCATATGTTACATCATATTTCTTCTCGATGCTGCAACCTTCATTGCATAAGTTTCAATCAGTAAATATAAAGTTCCTCGAGAGGCTGAGATATTAAATCATAGTTTATATTAGACTCAACTTGTTGTGTTAGAACAGGCTGAATGTAATGATGTTTCTTTATTTCCTGTATATATCATGTTTCTTTACTCCCTTTTACATTTAGCTTTCAAACTGTTAAACTGACCTCTTTACTAACTTTCTCTTTGGTGCCGCGAGATAAAAAAACAACTCAAACTCAAACTACACTAAATAACTACTTACTACTCTCAATGACAGAAACTTTAAAATCAAAGAAATGAAAAAAATATCCTTCCTGATGTTTTGTTAGAATCGAAGATTAATTAACAAAACAAAATTTGAAAAATGCATTTCCGTAACAGATTCCGTAACATGCTATCTCTCACTAAAATTAAACTAATTCAGATCTCCAACCTGAAAACATATAAATTTCATTACAAATCTAGAGATAGCCATAAAACACAACATTTAAAAATGCAGCACAGAATTCTTTAAATCACCAGAGAAGGATAAATCTCACACTTAAGAAATCTACTCATTAATTCCAAATGAATTAATTAAGCCGATCGTATAGTCACAACTCTTAAAACTGATTTTTTCTACTACCGCAATATGGTTACTCAGGTTTGAATTGGAGTAAAACCATGTTTCCGTAAGGATCACATGGGTGACCTACAGTAGACCACAATTAAACCTCAAAAGAAACATACACTAATTAAACCAATAAACACATTTATTAAATATTATAATTTTAGATAGCTGGCCAGACTACCCCTTCAAAACATAATGGTAAAATTTACTCACTATTTCAATCTCATGGTTAACATTATTCACGTCTTACAAAATCATAGTGAAACACCCCATATTAATCCATTAAACATGTACTCAAGAACCTAACTCCTGACAATTAAACATTAAAAAAAAACATAACTAAAGCCTCCTCAACTATTGATTACTCATGACAATTTCTCAACTATTAATTGTTCATAACACTTTCTCAACTATTAACTGATTGAGTTACAGTAAAATATTCGAATTTTAATCTATATAAAAATGTCAGCAAAAGCTGTAGAATTTAACACTTACAAAATGCTAAAAATTACTTATTAAAAGAAAAGACTAAAATGAAAATAACAAAAATTTCACTCGCTGTTGGATCATCGCTCTCTAAAACCCAAAATCTGAAGACTCTCACGTAGAAACAATGCTCAGTTGATACTTAATTAGTTGACATAACCACAATCAATCTGACAATTGTTCGAGACACGGTTTGCTATTTCATCGCTGTCCAAAAACAAGTCTGAAGACTCTTGCAGTCAAAAACAGCGTTCAATCGATCCGTAATAGTTGATCAAAACACAGCCTTCCCTTTTATTTCGAAGTTCCTTTAAAGATAACAGAAGGAGATGGACAACAGGAGACAACAGACCGCGGCAGACGTCAGGAGATGACGACTTCCCTCTTTCCATTCCGGTCAGGAAAAATGCTGGACCTAGCCCCAAATCTTCCGTCAATTTTGACAGAAGTATATCCGAAGGGAGCCCGCGACAAACTCGGACCGCTCCACCAGCCAGTTCCTCGAAGATAAGCAATGTTAACCGTAACCGCGGTCGCCCACAAGGGGGTCGCCGAGCTACCTTCCTCTCAAAAGTCGGTCAGAACTGGACCAAATCTCACAAAAAATCTTTTTCCTCCCACCGTGTAACAGCTTTTGAAAGCTCGGTTGAATCTCACAAAGAAACGCCTCTAATTCACCATTGGCTCAAATAATACTAAAATTAAAAAATTAGCCAATCTTAAGCAAAACTTGCCCCTCCAGCCAATTAGAACATAGGTAATAAACAACGACAGAAATTCGAAGAAATCCAGAACTCTCTACAAAATGACAGACCCTTTCTTTCCCGCGCAACAGAAGAATGTTTTCAATCGTAATTTAGTTAAACTTGCGACATCCGTAGGTAATAAATACGTCATCCAATTTTCTACTTTAGAAAGGCCAGAGTACTTTCTCGCCTCCACACCCTAAACATGTGGTCAACCCCGCAAAGAGAGGAAAATGCAGCTGGGCAGTCCGATCCCTGACCCCCCACAAGAAACCGACTCGTGAGAAACAGAAATACACCCTCGCTCTTTTAACGTTAACACATCTTCAGCCAAATTTAAAAGAACTTGCCGTAATTGAACGAAAAGTTTAAACAATACTAAATATTATACAGCAATTCTTAAATACGAACATTACAAATTCATTGTTCACAGTTAAATAATATATTTAATAAGAATACCTTATGCACAGTAAAATAATATGTAATAATTTTATACAACAAAATAATGCATAACAATTTTCCATAACATTATGAAATGTACCTTAAAACTGTATAACAAAATAGAATTATTTAACAAGCTACATCTGTATTAACATTGGCCTTTGCTCCGCCAATTTAAATTGAATCATTTGCTCTTTTCCATATTTTCAGATTCTGTTACTCGAAAACAAAGCAAGCAAAATCACCAGCAGTCAAAGGTTCGCAAAACAGAATATGACTGTTTAACAACATGTGCCAAGTTCCTCTAAACAATTGCTTGAAACTTATTTCAGTTACGATGACATGTGTTTAATGCTCACTTGCGTGATAAAGAAAATAGTTTGTGCTTATTCTTCGGCACGCATGCAGTAAATTAGCTATTTTTACTACACGTCGTGAAATGCTTTTTTAGCAATAAATACTATAATTGTACTTACGCTGCCCATAGACTTCAAAGGTTTCTACAGGAGGTTTTCTAGTAGGAGTGTTAGGATCGATTTCTGAAAGATATAAAAAAAGAAATTCATACAATATGTGTGCTAATTTCTGAAAATCTCAAGTATACAGATGATTAAATTTTGCTGAATAGAAAGAAATTTGATATAATAAAACTCGTAATATTGAATTGGAATTTTCATAAGAGTATTAGGATCAATTAATGAAAGATAAGGATCACATGATTATCTCATTGACCACAGTGTCTTTAACAAATATGAATGCTTAAAAAATCTTATTGAAGAAAGAAATTGACGACCTGAGTGCGGTTTGCGCCTAATGACTTACTACAGAAATTGCTTTCCTTTCGGTATAAGAATAAATTTTAGATTAAATTTTCGCCGATACTGGTTGACATTAATATCGCATTATAAACAAAATAAGGAAAGAATGATTATACAGCATTTAATCGTTTGAATTTGAGATTATATTACTCTACTACTTATGATACAGCAGTCCATCCTGCGCTTTTAGTTGTGCATCGACATTTAAAGGATTTCAGTTTTTCCATTTTCTAGATGTAAATACTGCAATAGTTATTAGTTGGTGAGAGCTTAAACTAAATTATCTTATGCGCCTTTGGAAACATCTCCTCTTCCAAGTGCAATTTGAATTTTTATCTTTAAAATCAACGTTCTGTAAAAGATCGAAAATTTAATTTTTATAACCTATTGGGGATTTTGTTTCTTTGCGATACAGATAAGATGATAGACTTAATTTGTCAATAAAACTTTCCCAATCGTGCTTAAGACAACAAATTTATATGCCAAATCTAATTACACTTCCATAGTATAAGCTCATTCAAGAACCTTTCAAAACTTGAAATTTATCTGTGAACCTGTCAATTGATTGCATTTTTATCTGTCATATTTTATGCACACAGTTCATTTACTTTTTATATAGTTATATAATGAACTACGAAGCTATTTATACGTACTTCTGATGAAACACAATGTCTTAAGAGTTTCAAAATTAAAGTGGTTACTTCACGTAATTTATTATTCGAGTGTGCATAACATCCGTTCTGTAATCCGACTTCTAGGCCCCCCCAGTGTCTGAGCCTTAAAGTCTCTAACCACGGGTAATTCGGTCTGAGTTCGAATCCCGCGAAAGGATTGACTGCATGGCCGTTTTCGTGGGTTTCTCCATGTGTAACGTGTCAATACGAGCCAGTTTCCCTTAGAAAGTTCTCCACGAAGAAATCCCTCCCTTCCTTGTAATGCTTTAGAGCTGAACACATAAATAATAATGATAATAATAGTCTGATTTTTAAGAGTTATAAACAAGAGATTCAGACGTTGGGTTTCGAAATGCGTGCTTCAGTTTCTCTGAAACTTATTCTAATTATACAAAGGAATGCCTAAATATTACATGATAGATGAGAATTTAGGATTTACACACCACAAATTTGCAAACTACGTATTGACTGAAGACAATGCCTTTCTAATGCCCTTGAATAAATGAGCTTAATTGCTGACTGAAAATACTTACATAACAATTACGGTTGTTTTTTTAAGTAAACAACAATGCGTATTGCTCAAAGACGACTGGGTGATTCTTAAACCTGGCGTGCTGTCCTACAGCTTGAAATAAGGCAAAATGTTAAACGTATAACTATTTTCTTAGGCCTTGACCATTTTAATTTGCAGTTTATGGAAAGGATTCCAAATAGACATATGAATTGCCCACAGAGTTAATCCTGGCCTTTCAAGGATACAGAATCAGCGAATGTATTGTCCGAATATTGACGAGTGACCATGTCAAATCTAAGTAGAATGTTTATGAAATTCAATATTTGCGGTTAATTTGCAGCAATGTCTGAATAGGTAAGAATCATATGATCGAGTAACATGCTTATATAATGCATGCATGGTAGAATAACATGCATACATTGACAGTGAAAAGTAGTGGAAGAGGAATGGAAATCAATATCTCTGGGAATTTTAAGAAAAGCACTTCTATCATAGAAATGTTATGCAGATTTATAATTCGCACAAAATTCTGTCAGATCGAACATTTAAAAAATATTCGTTACATTTTAAACATAGGAACGTAAATAAAAAAACCCGAAATCGTACCAAAAATTTATGAAAACCCTTCGTAAATGGCTGTTTATCTAGTGTTCTTTGAGTAATAACATAAATGCCAGAGAGATTGACTTAAAATGTATCTTCTGAAGGCTAATTTTCTAGACAGTAGTGTTTAGGTGGAATGCTCCGTTAAGAATGCTCTGCAACAGTCATTCGCTATGCATTGTGGCAAGTAACTTTGTGGTAAATGACTGACGATAAAAAGAGAAAATATTATTGGATGTTCAACAAAAAATGAAGCAATGAGAACTGAGAATTTTGAAAATATATATATATATATACGCATTTGAATCCATTAATCCATTAATCAAATTCTCATCTTAAGGATTGATTAATGGATCATTAAGATGAGAATAATTATAATCTATTCTCATCTTAATGATCCATTAATCAAATTCTCATCTTAAACGCTTTACTTAAGAATGCTTAGAATACGTTTATTGCTCAAAAAACAGTAAATGGAATTAAAATATGCCGGTAATTTTAATCTACACATGCATATACATGTACACACGCTTATATGTAAATATGAGAACGGAATCATTTAATTTTTTGTTTTACTCTTTCTAATTTAGAATAGTCTGAAAAGTACAAATATTTATGTGTGACTGTAGCCGCTCTAAGCTGCAGAAGTAACTTCTGTAAATCTACTTCTGTAAATTCTATACATTCGTTACTTTCAATCTTCTGTATATGAATTATAAGATTGTAAGGAAACACTTTTTATTTAAAATGCTAAATGCATTTTCTGCAGCAACATGCCTTAAATGAGCAATCTAATTTTCATTCGCTTACATAGAGATGTAGTAATATCAAGAAAGATTTTCTAATTTTCTATGAAATTGTAGTCATTAGGATTTTTGCAGCAAGAAACATGAAAAATGAGCAATTCCCTCGCCGTGACGCGGACCTGGACCTTTCGAAAACCCGCCGAGTGTACTACCGTTACACCACGAAGGCATGCAGAAACAAGAAAGAAAATATTTTATAGATTGCCTCCTTTAAAGGGTGACTGGGGATTAGGGAACCCACTTGCCAAATTCTCGTGATGAAGAATCATTATCCACCAATTTTTAGTTCGGGCACCACTGTACATTTATTAGAATGTTTGAAGCAAGAAACATTCAAAATGAGCAATGCTCTCGCCGGGGCTCGAACCTGGTTCTTCCGAATACGCGTCAACTGTGCTATTGTTACATCATGGACGCATGCAGAAAAGAGGGAGTCAGTACCTTAAACAATTATTAACCACAAGAAGGAATTCTAGGGCTGAAGAAAGATAAAGATTTATTTGTTTTTTTTTTAAATTAATATTGAGAAACAATAGCCGCTTAATAAATAAAAATTAAACGTATTTCAAAACAGAACAGACACACGCCAAAGTGAAACATAAAATTAACAAAGCGACCACCTTGCGTTTGGCGTAAACTATGCCAAACATACATTAAATCTGCATGTATAAATTTATGCTAATTTTATAAAATGTATTTGCCGAAAATACATTGGAATAAGTATTCTTAAAATTCTTTCAACTTATTAATCCGTAAATTCATATCAACTTATTAATAACCAAGGCGATTATACAACTATCGTATAATTTATAGCTGAGTGAAACTGGACATTTGGGACTGCATCAGTTGCTTCAGATTAAATAAGCTTTTATTTTTGCTTGGTTTGTTGTACTTTAACAAGTAATTTGTTGAAAGTCATCGTGAACTTGAAACTTTTGAGTGTTCCTAAACGAGGTGATTTTCTCCCTTTTGAACCGAGTACAAAAGTTTCTCGAGTTTCCCAAGAGAAATTACAGTAATCGTTTCCTCCAGGTTAAGCAGGAAGGTAGGCGACTCTTTGGAAAGCCTGCTTGTCTTGAGAGAAAGCGATAGAAAGTTTGGATTAATAGCCCGCAATGCTCAGATTCTCTCAAATTCGAGATCCTTCAGAATTTGGGTACTTTCAAAGAGGTGATTAAAGTGAGAAAGGAGTAGAAATTTACGATATTTAAAGTAGATTTAATGGAAGTAAATATAGAAAATAATTCTGGTTAACGTTTGAAGTTGGTAAATGCTATTTTATTGGTAGTCTGCAGATTTGATAATGTCTCTTCCCTATTTTATTTGTAAGATTATAGCTGATATGCATGAAAGCTTAAATTTTACATATTTGTTCAAAATCCGCTCTTTATGTTTATTACATGTTCTAAAATTTAAATTGTAGAACAAAAATTTAGGAAACGTTTTGCTTTGTATACATCAGAAACGGATAACTTAACAAAATAGATGTTAAATTAACATTTCTCGGAAAATGACTGAGAAAATATTTCCCTTTCAGTTCCTTTTAATATGACGTAACATTTTAACCTGTTTCATCGCAAATGCAACTTGATTCATTGCAATGTTCACAAGAATTGAGGGTTGTTTGTCTAAATGTTAAATGCTGTGAGTTTTTTTTTTCTCGAAGAGAGGTTACGCACAGTTAAGAATATTAAACACAAAACTAATTATATACTAAATGGACACAGCCCTTAATTTAACAAAACTACAGCGGGTTTTACACATTTTTGTAATGATTTTGATTTTCTCCATGAATTCAAATATTAATTTTAAAATACAAAAGTGACTGGCATCAAACTGGAATAAGGTTTAGTTATTCTCTAAAATGTCGCTGAAAAATGAACAATGAATCGGAGGCTATATTTTTGCGCTGTTTGATGAGAAAAACTCTTATTCAATTATTAAACCAAGATGTAAAACACATGGTTTTAATACTTCTAACATGTAACATAAGTTACATAATTAATACGAAAAGAAAGAAACGTCAAAGTTTACATCTGATAGAGAAAAAGGCAAGACATGCATACCCAACAAAGGTATGTGCAGCTCTTATTAAATTTAAGTTCGTATCTCATGTTTTAAAAA